AAAAAAAAAGAAGAAAAACATTATTAAGAAATTTTTACATTATATTGCTATCTATACTTGTCTAACTATAACGATCTTCATTATTGTCATTTATAGTTTTATTTAAGTAGATATGTATGTATATATACATACACACACACACACATATATATATATATATATATATATATATATATCAATAAAGAGGATTTGTAAGGGATAAGATTGCGAATAATATTTGTCGGAGGATGCGAACGATCGATCTCGTAGGCTCGTCATAGTACTTACGTCTTCGTCCAAGGATTAACGGTATAGAAATGCTACGGGCTTTGACATCGTCGTGTCTCGGAATAGTAGCACAATGGCCAAGGGAAGAGAGCGAGCAGGGGCGTTTCGCAGAATTACGTACGGACGGAGGACGAGCGATGCATTGTACCGACGACATGTTTCTCTCTCTCTCCCTATTTCATTCTCTCTCTCTCTCTCTCTTTCTCTATATTCTATCTAGTAGACGAACGTATCAGAGTCTAACGTCTTCCGTTATAATAATATAATCTCGTAGCAGTCAACTCGAGAGTTTCTCTTACGTGGGATAGTTACGTAATCTTAATCGCGGTGATAGCAGGCGCGTTTCCGTTTCGATATTTTCGTAATATATACATAAACATTGCTGGATTTATATATTCTGGGATAATTAACATTAATCATTTTATAAAAGACGATTATTAATTAATAGGTATACGTCTACCATTGAATATGCAAAAATAATTCATATTAAATAATAGAAATAAACGTGTAATAGGAACGATAAATTTAATTTAAATATAGAAATCTATGATGTATGATGATATACATATATATATGGTAATTATATATCTATGCCAATTAATTATATACATTATATACATATATATATGCACACACACACACACACACACACACATATATATATAAGATAAATAATGCATGTACACACAAATGCATGTGGATGCGTATAAACGTATAAACGTATAATGATGCATACATTTTGCATATCTTTCGAGCTAGAAAAACATTTGGGATGTTAATGATAAATGTCATAGAAAGATATCCTATTTATGTATCCGTATAAGACTAACGAATCATCGGATTAATGCATTAAAATAGATTTGAATTTTTTTTTCAAATATCCCTAGAACGTTTCTTTAATCCCGTAGTAATCGAAAGAATTCGTAAAAATTTTATTATAGACGGCGTAATATCGTTTGAAAAAGAAGATAGGAAAGTTAATGGGTCATACGAGGGTTTACGTCGGAAGGGAGCAAATCATGGGCTTTCCCTCGTATTTCTTTCATTCTTTCTTTTCTTTCTTCTTTTCTTTCCTTTTCTCATGTTATCGACGGATATACGACTGGATCGGTTTCATCTCCTGACGTGATTTATTGCGAAATAACAGGCTCCCGAAGAATGTGTCCTCGGTTAGATAAAGAATCCTGGACGATCTTCTTCGGGAAAGAGTTAAAAAAAAAAAAAAAACCAATTATATAAAAGAAGAATTAAATAAGAAAGAAAGAAAGAAAGAAAGAAGGAAAGAAGGAAAGAGATATTCGTTCTTAGGATTCGTTATCTCTCTTCGATAATCGACTCTCGATAACGAGAGGCGTTTGTATGCAAGGTAACCGAGATAAAGGTATAAAGGACGAATAGATAAGACGATAAACAAGGACATCAAGAGAGACCGCATGTGTCGTTGCACACGCGGTCTCCTACCTATATATCTATAATGCGTCATGTGTGTGTGTTTCTGCGTGTGTAGCGATGGAATCATAAAATCGAGCGACAGGAGGGCGACGGAACGAG